AGAGAGAGAGAGAGAGAGAGAGAGAGAGAGAGAGAGAGAGAGAGAAAGAGAGAAAAGAATGCCGAAATAGTACCGAGTCCGAGGAAAGGGAAAGAAAGAGAGAGAAAGACAGAGAGAGAAAGAGAAAAGAAATAAAAAATAAAAAATAAAAACACGTCGAATCGATCATCGATGATGAGAAACGAGAGCGAGAACGATGAGCTCGCGAAGCGCCGCCGTTCATGTTGCGATCATCCTCGGCCATTGTCACGTTTTTCTCTCGTCGTCGCCTTTTCGTTTCGTTTCGTTTCTTTTCTTTTCTTTTTTCTTTTTTTTCTTTTTCTTCCTTTTTCCACCCTTTGTCAAGGGCGGTGCACACCTCCTGGAGCTATCCGCCCTACACGCAACATAACGCAACGATATCTCGATAGATTACATTACACAAGAAAAAGTGGGCAACTTCAACAAGAGAACGGGGGAGGGAAGGGGAGGGAAGAGGGAGGACGAGAGGGAAGGAGAAGGAGAAGGAGGAGGAGGAGGAGGTGGAGGTGGGGTGTTCCGGTAGCGGGGATCGATCGCCTCAATAAAATCTCGATCGTACTACACGTAAAGTTTTCTTACATCTCGAAAGAGAGGAACCATATTCCTTTGTTTTTCTCGCTATTTATAAAAATAATTTCAAGCCGCCTTCGGGGAGTGGAAGGGGGGTAGATGCCTCTTAAAAGCACACGCGATCGTTTTCTTCTTTCCCTCTAATAACGCTTCTTTCATGAACATACAGAAAAATTTTTCTTCTCCTCCGATGATCTCCCTCGTACCGCGCCGTATGAGCAAGTTACGTCCAAGGAAAACCTTGTTAACGAATATTTAACATGTATACCGACCACTAGTCGTTTCGTACGGATCGAGCAATTTTCCGTTCTCTATGGAAACGCGGCATCCGTTTTTTTTTTTTTTTTTTTCCGACAACGCTCGCTTTACTATCGTCTCGGTATAGATAACAATAAGTTTCCTCCGTAAAGAACGTAACAGGAATTGCGTACGTTCGAAGAGTAGAATCTCGATATATATATATATCGTATATACATATATATATACGTATACATATATATATATATATATATATATATGTAATAACCCTTTCAAGATCGAAATTTTATAGTGGAAAAGATTTTTTTTCATTACGAATAACGAATCGATGAAAAAAATACTTCTTTTTGACGATAATCTTGGACGAAACGATGTAAGAAATGCTCGAAAAATGTTAAGCTTGTTTTTAATAATTATAATAATAATAAAAAGAAGAAGAAGAAAGAAAGAGAGGAAAATATTTACTCTCGATCGTGAGAGGGTTCTTCTGGCTCGGTACAATCGGGCACGATCGGGAAAAGATCTTCTATCTGTATGTTCGAGTCCTGGAAAACTTTGAAAAAATCCTATGACAAGTTTAAGCCGTATCTACCCCTTAGCAC